CCACAGTTCTGCTAATTACTTTGCAGAAGCCCCAGGAGCTCTAGAAATAAAAGTTAATAGGCTAAAAGGATGTTGCAGTTAAGTCCAACTGAATATTTTTAATTGCTACCATAAATTCAGAAATAAATTTTAACATCTGAAATCCATTGAGTCCTTCCTGTTTAAAGCCTATGGTAACATATGAATGGTGTGACAGGAGTGGTGGGAAATGAGCTCCCAGCAAGGCCCAGTGAAATCAGAGGCCTTTTAATGCAGGGTGTTCCTGCCTCTGCAATGCTTCACTCAGAGCTCCCAGGAACAGTGTGACTCTGGGCCCTGCTCCCAAGAGGAAAGGTGGCCTGGGTGGCTCCCTTCTGGCCAGCCTGCTCTCAGCTTATTCTTACAGTGCCAAGATGCTCCAGGGAAACAGCAGCAAGAGTTCTGTGACACTGCTCTTGTGGAGACCCCAAAGTAACTAGCAGAGAAAAATTAACATTTTTTGCTCATGCACACCAGCTCACACGGTGAGACTCAGTGACTGTCCTCTAGGTGCTACTGCAGCATAAAAAAAATACAACTGTGTATTTTACTAATAACTAGGCATTGTTTCAGTTATTGTATAGTAGCACTATATAGTGTTGTTAATTATCTTTACTGTCACTGAAGCTGTAGCAATACAGGCAGAAATGCAGGCAAGAATTACTTCTATATGGTGCAAGATTGCACTGATTGCTTAATTTGTTTCTGTATCTCCTGCACTGTGCTGAGGCTTGCCCAGAGGAGCACTATGTTTGTCATCAGAACAGCCCAAACCTTCTGGTACAGAAGTGCTTTCAAAAAGCTGGTCAGCATTTGCTGGTACCTAACACAGGGACTGTATAATATCTGCACCAGGTCTGTTAGATTGGTTCTGTTTTGATTAACAAAATCAAATCAGTGCTAATAAGGGGAGGAAACTTGCCAGCTTCTCTTCTGGCAAGCTGGTGCCAATCCCAGCCTCATCACCATGTGTTCAAAAACTGACACATGAGGAGGGCCAGTTAACCTGGCTTTGCTCTTCCTTCTGCTGAGCACAGTGACTCCTACCCAAATGGCTGGAAGTGTCTTTGAAACTCCAGAATGACTGGGGCAGGTGGCTTAGTGAGATTTACTCTGCAAGCAAATAAATGAGGTAGAAACTTATCCCCTGGCACTGTACTTAACCCATGTCCAACAGGTCACTTCCCTCCAGTAAAGGGGAATGAACATGGCCATTAACCCAGCATCCCTGCCTTAGCTTGCTAGACAGCCTCTGGCAATCCCCATTCTCCTTCTGCTCTGTTTTTTGATATGTAAAATAGGAGGCAAACACTGGTTTGCTGGGCAAGATGCTCTGATCTCTCAGAACTCGTAGCAGGGAGCATAAAAATGTGTTAAATCCATGTATCTGCCAGGGAGCTGGACACGTTTGGTCTCAAGCCTGAGATCAGCCTCCAAGGTGCTATTGCAGCAGTGGAGGCATCTTCAGAATTACTTGGTTCTGAAGTTATACATATATACATATACATACATATATATATATATATATATATATTCTGAAATTAGGTATACTCCCAGGTGGGAGTATTGCAGGGAGTGGAACAGTCCTGGGCAGACTCCTGGTATTTACTGCAGTCAGTCAGTGCTTTTGAGGCCTGTCTTCCCCTGGTGTGTCTCATTCCTTTCTAGGAGATGGTGTTTGGAGGCTTTCTCTCTGATGTTGATCCTGTGGACAGGCAGGGTTTGCCATGGTGGCATTTTGGGGCTGTGGTACCGAGCTATTTGCATGAATAAAGTAGCAGCTGAGGTTTTTACCAGCCTGTCCTCTTGCAAAGAGATGTTCCAACAGATCACCTCAGTGGGTCAGTGGTCACTTGGCTGGATGTGTGGCTGTCCCAGCTGTGGTCCTTAGGACACAGAGCTGCTTGTTCCACTGAATGGAGCTCAGGTGAGTGTGTCACTGCTTCTCTGTCTGCAGGAGCTCTGGCCCTGTGGCTCCTGCCACCTTGCCTGGGCTTTTTACAGTGAGTGTCATCAGACTGGTCTTAACTACTAACAATATCTTTATCCCCCTTTAAGCACACTTGACTACCACACCAAAAGTCTCGAGGGCTTTAGTAGTGCAGATTTCCATCACTTTTCCACCAAGAGGATGTGCTCTCCACTCCTAAACCGGTGCTCAATAGCTCACTGCATTTCACTGGTGCCTTTTCAGACCGTTCTCTTTTCCCACTTCTCATGACTGCATTTCTTAGAGTCTTAACCAAACAAACCAAGCAAAAGGCGACCCTGAGATTACTCCAGAGGACCCGATGAAACACAAGTTAGTATTTATAAGAACATTGTTTTTTTAACCCTGTTTGTTTTCCCTGCAAAGCAGAGAGCTGTAACTTACCTTGCTCCCGTGTGTATGCTAACACAAGGCAGTACATTTGTTTATTGTTACACGGGTTTGTTCTGGTAGAGCTGTGAGGCTATCAAATGGAGCTTACTGTTCATAAATGGTAATTCATCCTTTGCCTCTGCCATACATGACACCCCTGAGAAGAAATCATTATTCTCTGAAGATTTCGAATGACATTTTCAGTGTCGATGGATAGTACTTATATAAGAGAAATGTTTGCAAAGGGAGGAAAAGAAAATAAAAAATAGTTCTGGTTTTCCATTTGGAACTCTTAGAGCTGACTACATTCATGTAACCAGTATAATTTGCTTTGCCAAAATAAATAATGCTAGTGAGAAACCCTGTGCAGTACCTGTAAATGCAGAGGGCAGGTACATTCATGTTGCTGTAAAGCACAGAAAATGTGTTATATTTGACAAAAACATTCAAAACAAATGGTTGAGTTCTTACCTGTTTTCACCCTGTACAAAAGGCAGATGAACACAACACACAGCCTCAGCATATGGACTTCCACATGGAACTTCTACGGGTAGGAGATTTGAAGGATCCCACAATTTCTCTGGCATGTGTCTGCTGGCTCTGACAGCAGTTTGCTTGCTTTTTTTTCTGCCAGTAACAGTAGGTGTGGTGAAAGGAGGAAGTTACCAGCCAAGAAATGAAGACCAGTGAAATGAAGCTTCTTCTGAAGAAGGTGGGGCACCTTCTATTCTAGCAGGTTTCCTTAATTTAAATATAGTTTGCCTTGGGGGATGACTAATCAAAGACACAATGGGTTGGTAGCTGTAAGCAGCAATTTGACTACACCTGTTGAAACTAATGAAATTATTGCTTATTTGTCTTTTGCAAAGAATGTCAGGAAGACTGCAGATGGCACTGCAAGTCTGATAAGCATCTGGGTGGGGCCGGTGCTTGGTTTCACAGGGCCCTGCCTTTGGAGATTTCATGATGATCCCTAATATCTCCCATGTCCCTCCTGCTCTCCTGAATGCCATAGTCCAGAGTCCCTTCTACAAATCCTGTCACCACCTCAGGTAGGAGACAGGTGCACAGCACTGTGTTGTGACAAAGTAACCACTTGGAGGTGTCTGGCTCTCCACTGGGCTCCCAAGCAACTGCTGTTTTGGATAACACTCATACAACTGGCATTCCCACATTTTCTCACAGACCTGCTGGAACCTCATAAATTCAGCTCTAATTCAATTAAGGAAGGCTTTTTTTTTGCTGGATGGGAGGAAGGAGATTGCCAAGGAAAGACAACAATCAGGGGCAGGAAAGGAAGTCTGAAATTGGAGCTGGAAGGTATAGCGGCAAAATTGGAAAATGAGGGTGGTGAGGAGTTTGTAAAGGGATGAGAAGGGAGGGAGCAGGGATGGCTGCTGGATAGAAGTTGGGTGGTAGTTTTGCTTGGTGTTTTCTTAGCAAATTCTTCTAACATAGGCCAGGGAAAGGGAATGTGGGGTGGATTAGAAGTACCTCATTAAGCCCAGGCTCTGCTTTCTTTCCCTTGGTGATGATCCAATGAGGAGCTGAACTGTAAGAGCTCCCAGTGGCATAGCTGGTTCTTTGGTCCATGCTGTACTTATTAAGCTTTTTGACTTTGCTAATTCTCAGGTTAATCCTTAACTCTTCCTGCTGTCTGCAGCTCCTTTTCCTTCAGACAAGTGTGTGCTGCTCCTCTGGTGCAGGCATGGATCACACTTGAGGCAGAGCATGTGTCTAGCATTATTCTTTCACAAGAACCTTGAGCTCTTCAGCCTCAAGCAGCTCAGCAATCTGAGTCTCACTGAACATGTACCATGCTGATAATCACCCAGGCAAAAGCTGGGGCCTGTTATTTTGAAGATGATGAACTCTGAAAAAAGACACCAAATAACATTTGTGGATCTGGAAGCTCCAGGACAGTGCTTCTTCTGCTGCACTGACAAAAGAATATAATTTAAACATTGTTTTCCTTCCAGCTCCTTTCTCACCTCTACCAGTAATCCTAAACTCTGTCAAAATATTTTCCCTTAGCAAGAAGTTCTGCCAATGGTGAGACGGAATTGGTCCAACAGTGAAACATGAAGAACAGAAGGCTTTTACCTGTTGCAAAAGGCATCTGAGAATCAGAGATAAAATAAGGTCCTTGAGGGCCTTGCCTTTCATCTCAATACAAAAAGAGGTAACAATTTGTTGCCTGAAGCTAAGCCCTCCTCATTTCTTTTCCCTATCACTTTTTTTTGATTTTAATTTCCCATCTGAGGTTGCTCATCCGAGTGGCTTGCATGTCAAGAGGCCCTACACTGGGACTGGCAGGTTCTTCCTTGGAACTCTCAACCAGCCCTTGGAACACCATGATTATGAGTAACCACCATTCAGCATAGATTAGACTGTCTGTTCACTGTACACATTGGCAAACATTCCCAGGATGTCAGCACTGGAAATGCTGTCCACCACCACCATCAGATCCTGAGAGCAGGAATTCAAGTGCTTACAGGTTCTGCTGACCAACCTTTCACACCTGCCTCAGCCACACACTTGTTAAAGATGGCAACAATTCACAGCTATTTGGGTCTTGTACACTGAACTCTAGACAATAATCCCACTGTGAGCTTTGAAATTGCAATTTGAGACAGTAAAAACTTTTTAATCATGTGTAGAAAACATTTAAGATCAGAATTGGCACCAACTTAAGAACAAATTAACAGAAAACATGAAATCATGTTATAGGCATGGAACATTTTGCACTTGGCTCTAAGATGTCAGAGCCTCTGCTATTTCACATTCAAGAAAGAAGCATTTTAAACTCTTCATTGTGAGCAGAACCACTGTTGGAATCTGAAAGTTTCAGAGATGTTATTTCTTTCTTAGGGCAGCTTATGAGAGCAATGGTCAGCTGAAAAATATTTTTATGCTGCATTTATGCATCCACTGTATAAAATCCCTCTGATTCACTAATTTCCCGTGGGTGGAACATTTTCATGGAGATACTGGAGAGCCAAATCTGTCCACTTCATTTCTTGCTCTTTCACAGACTCAGTGGTGCCACCGTTGTCTTGCTCTGGTTCAGGGAGCTCATTCTGAGAACAAAACACAGGTGGAATGGATTCCACATGTAATACACTTCCTGCAAGCAGCAGGTTGTTATGATTTGTATGGATAGATACAAAACCCCACAAATGAGACCAGAGGGTGTATCTGAACAATAAATATCATACATACTGATCCACTTAAAAATATTGCTGAGCCCCATCATGAACAGTATTCTTTTCATTTGAATGTGGTGCTTAATCTGAAAGGTAAATTGTTTTCCAGGACCCTGGGGCCTTGCTATACACTCAGACTGCACACGCAGTGAGGGAGAATATACAGCAAATGCAAAGTAAGTAAATAACAGTACAATGCAATTATTCCATTGTTTGTTTGCAATGTGCTGCTTCTGCTGTTGCCAAGAATACAAATACTGCAGACAACTGGTTCTGTAAAATGTTATTTTCCTATGGCAGGTGAGAAGTCCTTCCTGTCTGCATGCTGGACTCGGGTGTAGCTGTGCTGGATCAACAGCAGAAGCCAGAACCTCCTGCCAGGTGTGCCACAGAGCTGCTCACAGCACAGTAAAGGGAAGGAAAGTTTAACTGAGATTTCATCTTCCTTCCTTTTATTGTTTGTTCTCTGTCTTGCTGTATTGGTGTAGTCACACTGAGTGTGTGCTATTCTGCCAGATACCATTTAGGCAGGAATTCAGAGTTCTAGATCTCTGGAAATGTCAGTATGAGCTAAATAAAATGTTTCAGCTTTGAAAATAACGAATGATTCGAACCCATTTGAGTTCCCAGAAATGTCTTGAGTGAGCACTGGAGCAGACTCTCAGGACAGGCTCAAATACCACTTTCACAGCTATTCTGGTTGCTCCTTTGCAATGGCCCTGAGTAAGTCCCCTGTGAATCTATGCTGGTTTTTCTATGAGATCAGAACCAATCCCATCTCTGGGGATCTTCATATCCCCAGCCAGGCCTTTCTTTCTATTGGTAGTTGGTGAGGCTTGCTTCTCTGAGGCTGTTCTCTGTATGTGACTGTAAGCCATCATGAGATGGCTCTAAGGGAACAAACAGTAATGTTTGGACTCAGGGTGAAGGCACTTGTCAACAAGGAACCCCTGTTTATGATACTCAGCTTGCCTAATAAAGGTTATCCCAAGCAAAGGAGGGTTTGGGCTCTTTTAGCTGAGAGTTATGCTTCTGCAAGATGCTTCCCTCAAGCCCAAATCTTGGCAGGAAAATGTGTGCTGCACATATGGATTTTGAGTTGGGCAGCTGCTCCTTGCTCTCTCTGAAAAGCCAGTGGTGGCAGGGCTAAAGCTTGAACCATGTCACAGATTTGGAAATGTCTCTCTGCTGAAAGAAACCAGCACCCCACAAACTCCATGGCTGCTTTACCTGTGCTAGCTGGGGTAAAGTTGGTGTACCAGAGTGAAAAAGGGAAGGGAAAATGCTCAGCTACCTTTAACTTCCCTGGAAATTTCAAGATAGCCAAGGAAAGGTGTCAATGTGGGAGATCTGAAGTTTCAGCTCTGGACTCTGTGTGATCAGCAGTAGCTTTTCCCCTGCTGCCCCTCTCCAGCCTTGCAGTTGTACCCCGGATGAAAGGAGAGGTGCCATGCCTTGGGCACAGCACTGCAGGCAAGAGTCCTGCTGCACCTGCCATTCCTTCCCTGCTGTCCTGGAACTGCCAACAACAACACTGTATCTGGGAAAGACTGCTTTGAAACATGTATGAAAATGTCTCAGCTTATTTTAATGGCATTGCGGGAAGTGGAAATAAAGTGTAACCAAGACTGGAACTGTCAGTGTGAGACTGATCCTCTGCTCTCCAACCAGGAAAGTACCTCAACACCAGGAACAAAAAAGGGATGCAGAGAGAAAGGATGATTCTACTCCTCCCTGATGCCAAACCCAGGACAGTGCAATGGGAAGGGCACTACAGTTCTGAGAGGATTCAGGAACTGCTCAGGGGACAAGGGACAGAGGCATCCATGTCCTCATGCACTCAGGAATGACTGGCATAAAGGGCAGGAGGTAGTCAGACCCAGGAGCCTCTTGTACAAATTAATTGCACCACAAGCAACACTCTGTGCCTTTTCTTGGAAGGGACTGTGATGAAAGCAGCAGCCTTAACTCAGATTGATAAGTAGCAATTCACCTACCAGAGGGATGGCCACGTCCTCGTAGGGCAATTTATCTTCCCTCCACGCATCATCGATCAGATCCAGGATCCTGCCATCCCTCTGCACCTCGCTGTCCATCGTCACAGCAGGGGAGAGCAGCTAAATCTGTGACACAAAGCAGATGCTGTTTTAACAACATCCCCAGCCAAGGAGCTGGAGTCTGGACTATGCTCCAGTTTTGATGCAATCCATATGAAATTTAAACTTACAAGGATACCTTGATTTCCCTAATCCACGCAAAAAGGGGTTATAACCACAGAGAACAACTTCATGTGAAAAGAACTCTATCAGAGTGAATTGCAGATTGATATGCATCAGAGATGAATTTATAAAACCATCTGGTTATTATTGATTATATTTACGTGCGTTTCTATCTACCGACTGACTTTTAGAAGTCTAATTTGAGTGAGTCTGAGCACCTAGAACTGCCCAAAACCCTTTGCTGACTGCTGGCTTACAGCCCCTGACCAGTGCCGTGCCTTACCGACTCCTTCACATGTCTGGGAGAGCCACAACAAAGGACTTCAAGGTACCCAAAATTCTGCCCCAACCTGAAGTCCAGGGAAACCGGTGAAACAGAAGCAAAACGAGACCTATCTTTCACTCCCAGCTCCTATAATTACTCCAGAGTGTTTCATTGTACTCTGCCCTCCTTGAAGGGCCACCCCAGTCCCTCGCCCCGCTGTCCCCCTTCGGGGCAGCAGCAGCAGGCAGCTCGATCCTGGCGGGTATGATGGGAGAAGTGACACTCGCCAGGCCTGGCACTCGCCGGCTGCCGGAGCCGCGATGGGGGCTGAGCGCATCCCAGCCGCGGCGCGCTGCGATCCCTGCCTCTCCCGGCCACCGCGGCTCCGTGACCGCCCGTGTGCCGCGGTGTCCCCCCGTGTCCCCCCGGTGTCCCCGCGCTCCCCTGCCCGCCCTACCCTGCCCATCTCCGGGGCCGGCGCTGCGCAGGCGCCGCCCCAGCGCATGCTCAACGCTGCCGCCGCGGGGCCGGGCCGTGCCCGCCGCCAGGGTGGGAAAGGCGGGAAGGAAGAAGGGAAGGAAGCAAGGAGGTCAGGCAGGAAGGAAGGAAACAAGCAAGGAAGGCAGGAGGGCGGTCGGCCGGCCAGCCAGCCGGAGCTGGGGTGCCGGGCAGCCCGGAGCGGAGCTTGGCCCGGGGGCTCGGGGCTGCTCCCCGGGGCGCGGCGCTGGAAGGGCCCCGGGCAGGTGGCGGGGCAGGCTCTGTAAGGGCTCGGCCGGGAGCGGCTCGGCACGGCGGGAGTGGGGAATGCCTGCCGGAGGCAGCTCCGGGGCCTGGAGCAGGGAGCGCTGCCCGGGCACGCTGGCCCCGGCCCCTTCACAAACGTAAGCTGCACAGGGCAGGCTTGGGTTAAACATCAGGAAGAATTCCTTCACCGAAGGGCTGATTGGATATTGGAAGGGCCTGCCCTGGGCGGCGGTGGTGGCGTCCCCATCCCTGGAAGTGTTTAGGGAAAGACTGGACGCGGCACTCAGTGCTCTGGGCTGGGTGACAAAGTGGGGATGGGTCACAGATTGGACCTGATGGCCTCAGAGCACTTTTCCAAGCTCAGTGACTCTGGGATTCTCGCCCTGCGAGGGGTGGTTCGCTCCGGGCTCCAGCCGCAGGTGCCGTTCCTGCCGCTGGCGAGTGGAGCTCGCCTGTGGTATTGCCTGTGGGAGGTTACTGCTCCTGTTGTGTTCATTGGAAGCATGCTTCCAGCACCGCTGGAAGATCTCATCTTTCTGTGTTTTTAAATGCGGACTAATCCCAGTCTTGTCTCATGGGCGCTATTCTTAAGTCCTCCTGCATATTGTAAAGTTCTCTCCACTTAACTCTGCTACAATTCTGCCTTGAGCTGGGGTGTTAAACCTTGTTTATTTTTAAATGTGTTGTCTTGTTTTGAGCTTTTTTTTCTTTTTTTTTGGAAAAACTTCAATTTTCTTCACTTTCAATAAGTGACCAGCCAGCTCCTCTTGCTTCAGCTGTAGTTAATGAAGGAGATTATTTCCTTGTTTCCTCTTGTGGGTCTTTACTCAGGTGCCTGTAACTTACACATTGCAACTTGCAAACAGAAGAGGCCAAAATTTAATACTAAGTTAGCAAACCTTATGTAGCATACAACTGGCTAGAGGTGTGTGAATTTAAGGCTTTTCCCCAAAATCTGGGTATGCCAGCAAAGTTAGCAAAGCTGGCAGGCTGTGAGAGTGGTAAGGCAGAGGCACAGAGCTGTCCCTTCCATGGACGTGTCCAAGGCCAGGTTGGACAGGGCTTGGAGCAACCTGGGATAATGAAAGGTGCCCCTGCCCATGGCAGGGGTTTGGCATGAGATGGCTTTAAGATCCCTTCCAACCCAAACTGTTCTTGAATTCTATGCTGTCTGTCTCCTCATCTCTCTGCCCACTGAAAATTGATTCTGTGTAGGTGTGATTAGAATGAAAGAGGAGAGCTGCTACTGTCTAATGTCTGCCGTTGCCACCTGGAGAGCTCTTGGAATGCTGTCAGCAGCTCAGGGGATCTGCTCATCTGCTCTCCTCAGCACCCTGCCCTCAGCAGAACCACCAAGTTGTTCTGCATACTGATTGAGTTTTGCTACGCACAAACAGGACCAAAGACAGACAAAACACTGTCAGAATAGGGATAGGATTTTCTTCTGTGCATTTTTTATATGCTTGTGGTTTAAAACACAGCTCCCAAGGACAGCTTTTAATCCTTAAATTGTGTTTTCAAGTGCTGTAGGAGCATGATAGAAGGTTCTTTGAGAAAGAGAGCTAAGCTGAGCCTGCATTTGCTGTGACCTGCTCCCCTTTTGCTGATTGCTTATTAATGCCATATTAATCTTAGAGGAAAGATGGTGGAAGGATCCATCTTCAGTACTTGAAAAGTGTTTAGATTTTGGACACAGAAGTTTGTGATAATAGCTCTGGACAAGTTTAACCATTTTTGTGTTAGATGCAGTTTCATGAAGGAGGCATTGAAATAAATTCCTGCTTCATGGCAACTTCTAATTCCCCATTTTTGGTTTTAATGTAAACCCTTCTCACTTTCACCAAGATCTGAAATTTCTTTGAGTATGCATGTGTTAGTTACTTAAAAGGTGTAATTTATAACTGAAGCAATGTACTGCTACTGTAAAGCTGTCCAACTTGTTTTCATAATTTAAGGCATAATTTGAGAGGAAATTTTAAGGAGTTTATGTTTTCTTAACACAACCGTATGAACAACCAGTGTGTTCTGGGGGTGGTGGTAACCTGCATGGTCTCTTTAACCTAGTCTGTAATAGAGGCCTGGAAAAGATGTAATTTATGGATGAATTCTTGCTTCTACTCTCTGGTGTTTTCTCTCTGAAGTGACAAACTTCCCTGCCAGAGGTGGATCTTGGGCTGGCCCCTTTGGAGCCCAGATGTTCCTATTTCTCCACAGGCTGGTGCTCCCAGGAGATCTACCAGTCCCTCTGTGTTGAGTTCACACAAGTGCAGATTCTCATTGCTCCTATCTGAATTTATTGGATCACATGATTATACCACTGCAATTTGGTGGTGCTGGATGGTAACATTTGTTATATTTTTTTGGTAGAAAAATCTGTTTTCCTCTATTTGGCTGTAAGTTCATGAAGGTGCCATTGTTTTCCTCTCCTGTAATTGCATGCTCCTTGTATGTTTTTTGACTTCTTTGCTTTGTGGGCTTCCACTTTTCCTGCAGTTGGATGGAGAAGAAGCCTGGTTTGTGCATTGCCATGGGTGACCACTGCTTTCCTGTACTTCCCTAGAACTGAAGCCACCAGGATTCAGTGATGGAGGCTTTACTGGAAGGAATGCAGAGAAGTGGGCGGGGAGGGTATGTATGCAACTGTACACAGCAGTCATTCCAAATGATTTAAGTATTAATCTTGCCTCTTACTCAGAATAAATCCTCTGGTGTAAGTGTGCAGTGGCCTTCAGCTGCTGCAGAAGTGAAGTCACTGGGGGAGCTGGCTCTGCACTAATCCCTGCTTATAGTCTTAATTGTCAAAATTTAGTTGCACATCTTCCTGAAACCTCAGTCTCTTTTTTCTCAGTTGTTGTAAACTATTCTTACTGTCCAACATCAGGAGCAGTTGTAAATAGAGTTGTGAATAAATATTTATTTTGTAACAGCCTTGCAAGGTTAATGAGATGTGACTTTGTTATCTGATTTCACTGAAAACATCTGATTATTTCCTGCTTGTGTTGAAACTGCAGAGTCCCACTCAGCTCTGAGTGAATCCTTAATGCTCTAAGGTGAGAGTCTCTAGACTTTTCAATCCCCGAGAGAGACTGTAGTGACAATAACAGAACAAAATGCTTTATGTGTTAAACAACCGTGAAGCAAAAGTCACTGGTGCCATTTTCCTAGTCATCCTTGAGAATGTGACACAAATTTATTTGATACTGTATCTTCTTTAGAGAGCTGGTTGCAGAAATCGAGTTTAGAATTTGCTACATATTAGCAGATGCTGTGAAGGAAATGTTCCTGCTCTGCATAATAGCTGCTAATTTTTGGTTAACTCGCAGGACAGGGTGAACTTCAAATGTGACTGATTTTGGCTCCTTTAAGAAGTATTTCTTTTCCTATAGAAAAAGTGCCAAGTAATGAAGTGTGCATATGCCCTGGGGGAACAGAGAAATTTCCATCCCTTAACCTATTGATTTCCATTTCTTTTCAGTTCTTCCCTTTGACAGGCAAATTAAAGGGGTAGAGATCATTATGGAGTTCACCACCCTCTAGGGCTGTGTCTGGCAAACCTTAATATTGTCCCTGTCTTGGCAGCTGGGAAGTTTTAGAGGAGTTACTTGAATTGGCTTCAATAATTACTGCACCAAATTAGAAATCTGGGCATCGCTAGGGAGCTTGTGCTCCCCGATGGATTGTGAGGGTTTGATTCTTCATTATCATGTTGTCATCCAGCCCCCTCTGCTTCAGGGTTTGTCTGCATTTGTGATAAACTTCTGTTTTTGGGAGCTCATAGCTTGGCTGTGAGATTCCTCTGGTGACTGAAACCTGCTATAAAATGCCACTGCCTGGAGAGCAGTTAAGGCAATACAAAATATGAATTAAACACGCTTTGGTTTACTTACATAATGCCTAGTACCCGAGGCAAAAGGCTGAATGCCCAAGTGTGAAATGATGTGGTTTAGTGGCATGGATGGTATTGAGTAAAATGTTGGACTTGATGATCTTGGAGATCTTTTCTGACCTTAATGATTCTATGATTCTATTCTGTGCAAGCTCATTTGAAGAGAGTTCAAATCACTGAGTGTGCATGGTTGGTGCCTTGGTGCCAGTCAGTTCTGCTGCCTTTGTTGGCTTGGGACACTGAATGTGTTGAGTGGGACCTGCTTTAACTCCAGGCTCTCTCCCCTCCAGTGGTGGGTTCTTGACCTCCTGTGAGGCCGAGCTGCAGGAGCTGATGAAGCAGATAGACATCATGGTGGCTCACAAGAAATCTGAATGGGAAGGGCAGACACAGGCTTTGGAAACTTGTCTGAGTGCTCGGGAGCAGGAACTTTCCTCTGCCAAGGCAGCTCTGCAGGAAAAACAAAAGGAGGTACCTTGGTTTCATTACTATTTTTTGGTTGGAGTCGGCAGTATGTTTTACCTGTTAGAATCAGGAAATCAGAAATAGAATTTTTAAAGGACCTGTTGGAACAAGGTGTCTGGTTCATAACTCAATCCAGTTCAAGTGATCTGCTCCCCTAGGGTTGGTGGAAGTCCACATATTGAACTGTTAGACTTATTAGAGAGAGCCCAGGGGCACTGGTTCTGGCTACAGCAGTAATGAACAGCCCAGCAACCTGCAGTCATTGGTAGAAAAAACCCATTTCCTACTATATAAACTACACCAAGACAACCATTTCCTCCTATGAACTACACCAAGATATTGCTGGGAAACTCTCCATGGGCTTTTTTACAGAGCTCTGGTTTTGTGATCTTTAAATGAAAGCCTGAGGGAAGTGCAAAAAAAATATTGGTGGAAAATTATTAGTAAGCAAAGTTTTTGTGCAGGATGTGGACCGTAAGGTGCAGTTGAGCCACAGGATTTTCATGTGCAAGAATGATGATTCTTATCATATAGGTTATTGTTGTTATTATTATCAATTATGTTTTCTCAAGACACTTGAAATGTCTCTTACCACCAAAAGCAAACATGGATTTCAAACTGAACTGTCAAGTATGTTTGAAGTCACTGCTAGAGTATATTCACACTTTTAGTTTAGTCATATGAATTTTCTGTGGGTTTTCTTTTCATTTTAATTTGTTGGCTTGTGACCACTCAGGTTGTGGTTGGGAAAAAGATGGGAGGAAAAAAAGAAACGGAGAAAAATGAGTCACAGGAGCAGTTGAATCAGTGTCAGGGAAGTCTTTTCTATGAGTTTCAAAACCCCTTTTCTTACTTTTTCCTTGCTATTAGAATTCTCTCCTTTCTCTGAGCATAGTAAGATGATGACATGGCCAACTTTTCTCTTGGTAGATAGCTTGAAATCATAATGCATATTTGTGATGAGTTTATGAAAATACTGGATAGAAGTAGGCACAAGCCAAATACGTCAGCTTTGTCCCCAGGAGTGAAATCCAGAAACTGGGTCAAAACAAGAGACCACAACAGAAACAGTTGTGGCCCCAGCCTACCAAAGCCTCCATCTATTTCATAATCATGGGCTCCACTGAAATATCCATGTATCTACTGGCAGTAAAGTCCCTTTCTGTTGTATTTATTTGCTTTTTATCCCTTTGTTCAGGTTGGCATGCTGCGTCGCCAGGTTGAGGATGTGGAAAAATCCAAGCAGGACATGGTTAGAGAGTATGAACAACAGCTGAAGAAATTTCAGGAGGAGGTGAGTTGCAAAAAGAGAAGTTTGGTTTCTAGTTCCCAGTTGATGATGGATCAATTACTTTGTGTCATTGTTTTTGTTTCAATGCTGTGGTTTTAAAACTGCCCACTCTGTTAGTGTTTGTGTGCTTAGCAAAAAGAGGATTGAGCATAGATTAAGTGACATTTGTATGGCTCAATTGGCCTGTTTTTTGTGATTTGGAGGAGGTTGGTGACAGACAGAGAACTGTTGGAGTAGAAATGTTTTCTTATGGGACATCTGCGGAAGTTCACTGCAAGAATGTCCTGTGTTTGCCCATCCCAGCCACCACAGGGCTGGTTCTGGAGCTGCCACAGGTACAGGCAGCAGCAGTTTGCTCTTTCAGCATTTCTGAAATTCAAAAAGGATGGAGATGTAACTGGCTTGGCTAGTGTGAGATCAGGAAATAACGGTGGTGTGTAGTCTCATCTTTTTACCTTTGTTAACACTGATGACTTTAGCAGGGATTTTGTACTCTCAAGGAATATTAGTCTTAATACCTGTTATAAAAACTGAGTGTACGTAGAAAATGCTGTTTGATAGTAATATCAGAGCTTCCATCTCAAAGCCTCTTGCTCAGTGCAAGGTGATACCTGTCCTGCAGGTGGTATAACAGCATTCCAGATTTATGCCTGAACTCCTTGCCTGTCTGCACTTGCCAGTAGCAGGGAGTAAACTGGCATGAGCAGCTCATAGAGCACTGACCTGTTTTCTCTGGAGGGCTGGGCCTAGTTCCTGCTCACTGTAAGCCATAAGTGAAATTAATTTGGTAGTCTCTGCTCTGATGACAGAAGGCATCTTTTCTCATTTAAAAACACCTCACTATTCCATATGACTAACAGGCCTCATTCGCTGGGTGTTCTCGCTGGAATTGTGGATAAGCTGCAGAGCAAAGCTGAGGTACATTGGCAGATCAGCCTAAATTGCTATGGCTGAAATACAGCCTGTGTGTTTTGGCCTAAATTGCATTTTGTGGGTATTTTACCTACACAGTATTAATGCTGATGACATTGAGCTCCAATATTCCTCAGTCTTCTGTTTTTACTACTGTTTGGGGAAATTATTTCTGTCTCTGTTTACCACCATTTCCAGTGCAATTACAGGTACAGTGTCTAACTTACTGAGACTGTTGAAAGAATAAACCTCTTATCTCCTGATATGTTTGGCAAAAGATGTTGGTATTAACTGTAAGCCTGAACATCTGTCTGTTCCCACTGAACACACCAAACTACTGAATGCATCAGATCTCGAATCAGATATTTTTTCTTCTCATGGTCCTTTTGTTCATCCATGGGCTTAGCTTTGTCCATCAGTAAAACAGCAGTGATGGCTTTTCAAATTCATGTGGCTATTTGGAAGCCTTTTATTTAATAGTTAAGTAGGGGGGAGCTCATCATATGAAAAGTTCGCTGCTAGTTGCAAGTGATTATTTGCACGGAGGGTCATTTAAATGTCAAGAGTTTTTTCCTCATTCCTGCTTCTGATACAACTTCAGCATCCTAGCAGCAGGCGTAGGAGTGATATTTTCTGTTGGCATTCTCCACTCATTGTGAAATACACAGTGTATCTAAGCAGAAAATGACAGATGAAGTGGTGTTGATATTATGGGTAATGGCAATTCTCAAACCTTCCTTCTCCCACTAAGCAGGAGAGTTCCAGTTCCCACCTGAGCTGCACAAGTGTATTTTGATCACACAAGATTTACCTGTGTGTGGTGTGGTGGGTGTGCTCCTGTGGGTGAGCAGATCAGCCACAGATGCTGCTGGCTCTTCCTGGGGCTGGGAACCACCTGTAGAGAGGGGGATGCTGTGTTCTTGCTGCATTGACAGCTGGCTGTAAACCTCCATCTGATCAATATTTCAGTCATGCTTTAATTATGGTACGACAGAGCTTTAGTTAAAGCTGCTGATGTCATGACTTCAGTGGCATCTTGCTACTCTCATACAACTCGTGTGTTTTGCTGTGCTGTTGGAGTAAAAGACTCATTATCCAAATAGAAGCCTTCACTTGGGAGCTGCGTGGCCCTGATGAGGGCATTGTTTGTGTGAACCACTTTCAAAGGGCTGTTTAATTCTTGCCTTGAGGCCTTGAGCAAAGCTCTCTCTTGCACTGTATCCTGCAGTTATCCCGGCTGAGGAGGAGCTATGAGAAGCTGCAGAAGAAAAAAAGAAGCAGAGGAGAAGCTAACAAGGGACAAGAGGAGGACAAGTTTGAATTGAGCCGACTGACCAGGAAGCTGGAGGTATGTGGTGAAAAAGCAAGTGCTGACCAGCTTGTATGTATTAACTGCCTTACTGGGCTTCACTGGTGACTGAACTGTCCACTAGGAAGCGCACAGTGACTCCTGCTTAAGGAGCACTGCCCATCCACTCTCCAGGTGCAGCTCTTCTCAACTGCATGTGTGATAAAGGCAGCTTCATGTGTTGGGGCCTCTGACTGCACTGCATTATAGAGGCACCACACTGCAACACTGCATAAACCTTAATGCTGTTCTTACCCTTAGACTAAATAAAAGGAAGGAGGTACTGGAAGAGTAACTAATTATGTGAATGGAATGAATCCCAGTGCGGGGAGGTTGTATTCTCACTTCTTTGAGGAGGAGGGAGCTACATGTCAAACTTCTTCTCAACCCTGTCTCATCTTCTAATCTTTCTGCTCTGCTGAGCTCAACCCCACTCAGTTTTCTCCTCCTGAGAGATGTGGTAACAACACACATCTGACTGATGTAGTGCCCAATTTTTGGAGCAGAGATTAGCAGTCAAATTCTGTATTTAATTCTTGTCATCTTGGTGATTTCAATAGCAGCATGTTTTGGAAGCCAAAGCCAGTCTGAATTGTTAAACCCCTGACAGCAAAGCCATGAAATCAGCCATGAATGTTTTGGCACTTAACATTTGTGAGCTTTACCTCAGATGGGGAAGGAGTGCAGCGAGCACGGTGTGTGAGGGCTCTGCACTGCTGAGCTGCTGCATCAGGTGACTGGCTAATGGTTTCCCTGCTGGGGGGAAGGTGTGAGGATACGGTGGGGAGAGAAGCATACGTGGATGTGACCTGGAGGGGGATGTACTGCTCCAAGCCACCCCTGCTGTCCTTGCAGGAGTTCCGTCAGAAATCACTTGACTGGGAGAAGCAGCGCCTGCAGTACCAGCAGCAGGTGGCATCGCTGGAGGCGCAGCGCAAGGCTCTGGCAGAGCACTCCGAGCTCATGCAGGTACAATTAATGTGTGCTGGAAGTTTCTGCTTTGTTTGTGGCAGGGAGGGAGAGGCTAATGAAATCTCTCAGGCTCCCATCCAGTTCAGATTGCCATTGAAGTGACTTTTAATGTTCTGGCGAAATAAGGTTTGCTTGTACGAGTGCTGTATGGAAAAAAGGTCTGGAGTCTGTCATCAGAGATTAGATAAACCTTGTGCAGCTCTCCCTGCCATCACTCTGGTTAGCAGAGAAGAGAGTAGGATGCAGGTTTCCCTGAGAGGCAGAAACCACAGCATATGACACTTTAAAATATGTTACATCATGTTGTCTACTTGAAAGCTGTGTACCTACCAGCAGGTAGATATGTACCTTGTGGGTCCAGCTCAGAGGGTACTGTTGGAAAGCAATCTTCCCCTGCAGCAGAGACTTCCATACAATACTGAAGCAACAGCAGTTTTCGGCCCCCCACCCCTTGTTTTAGGTCTCTCAAAGGCAAGAAGTAGTGGGGCTGCTGTTCTGCAAAGCTGATGGCTCAGTGAATTAGTGGTGCTGCAGCAGAGCAAGATGAATTGACCTAGAGCACAGCTGTGAAGTCACACAGACACAATCACAGCAGACACTGATAAGAAGCTCTTGCTGGGGACTTTGCCTTAATGGGCTCCTGAGTTGCTCTTGAGTGGAAGCTCCTGCGAGGAGGGAGACTGTGATGACAGGATTGAAGCTGGCTCTGACAGGGGCTTTGTGAGAGGCTGACACCAGGAGATCTACAAATGCAGAGAGAGTCCTTGAGCAGAAGGTCTTGCTGCTCTGCTGTCTGTGTGTCGTTGATAGCTCAATTGTTTGGGAACAGATGTGTCCTTGGAGCTCAGGCTGGGACACTGGGGCATAGAGGAGCTTGTCTTACTGTGCAGCAGAAAACCAGGAGGCTGGGGAGGTTTTCCCAAAGCAGCATAAGTGCCTTAGGTGCACAGGTACTGTGAAGAGACTGCCTGAATCCTCAATTGCTTTGAAAAGCCCAGCATGGAAGTGCTAAATTTTTTGCCTTGGATGTTTCTGTACATTTTACATGCTTAGTTGTCTTTCTAGCACAAGGTCAAGCTGAGATCCATGACCATGGAGTACTTCCCCTCTCTCTCCTTTCATCTGGCTTCCCCTCAGCTCTTCCACAGCAGCTTAGGGAAGCCTGAATTTTCCCCAGTACAGACCACCTTCTGGAGCACCTGCAGCCTTTAAAGTCAGCCTTTCCTAAAAGCCTGGAATTCTCTGCTGGCCTGGATGTTGTGTGGCTGGAAACAAGAGACAGCTTAAATGTTTTCTTAATGCAGAAATAAATGTTCAGGCAGTCTGATACTCTGGCTTCTTGGGTGAAGAGAGGCTCTGCTCTAAACTCTTGGCCCTCTTGATTACCTTTTCTGTCATGACTATTAAAATAATAATAAAAGGCTGTAATCAAAACTATGCCATAGCCTTGCAAATGAGCAGTTCTTACAGTTTGTGTAAATCAAGCCATGTGATGCTTCTGAAGCTGGCAGGCGTTGCTACTCTTTGAAACTGGGAGGATAGGACTGCTCAAATATTTTGTTTGAGCCTTTAAAAATTCAAAGATTTTATACAATAAGGGACTACATGAAGTGAATGTTCCTAGAAGCTTATGTGAGAGCTGGCTTGTTAAATTTCACCAGCTAGCTGTGTGGAAAGAAATGCTATGAAATAAAGTATTGTGCCTATAAATTATAGAGCAGATATTGTCTGCTACTCATACATTCCTTGTAACTTTTTTGTCTGCCATTAGAACACTGAAAAATTCAAAGTGAGCACTCCCCCAAGCTGCTGGAACCAGGTATTTACTGCAGAGAGCAAAGCAAATTGGCTGTTACAACTGTCTTGTTTTGGGGCTGTTTGGTGGTTGTGGCTTTGCAATTGTGCACCCTGAGCTGCTTTCTGTCCTGGTGTGGAATTAATGGTTGGGTAATCTCTGCCCTGTTTGGTTTACAAACTTTCTTACCTGCAGCTATTAGTCCTGGTCTAGCCTTGAGCTCATGAGCAAAATAATAGCAGGAGGCTTTGTTCTTAGACAAATCATACTTGGGCAGCTGGAGGGATTTGAGATTCTCATTTTCCAGATTTTCTTTGAACTGCTTTTGGAATCAAATGTCTCCCCCTTTTTTAATTTCATTTTTTACTTATTCTATTTGCCTTGGGAAGTTTTATCCATCATGTAACCCTGGAACAATACTGTCCCTAAGTCCCTGGAAGGTATTGTTGAGAATGAGAATGTGGCTCATTAGACTAAGAAATCAGTAGCTGTGTTGGAATGTCTCTTTGGTAGAACTTTGGTGGTTTTGCAGTTTAGCTCTAGCAGGTGCTTGCTGTTGCAGACCCAGCTGGCCAGTCGGAAGCAGATGCTGGACTCGGTGGAGCTGGCAAACCGCTCGGAAATCCAGCACTTGAGCAGCAGGCTGGAGAGGGCCAAGGACACCATCAGTGCCAATGAGCTGGAGGTGGAGAGGCTCAGCATGAGGGTGGATGACCTCAGTGAGGACAATCGCATCATTCTGGAAGATCAGCGCAGAGTTCAAGAGGAATTAAGACAGTCCAAGACAATGTTAGAGGTCAGTGGAGGAACTCTTAAGAAACCGGGTCTGAAGTGTGGGAAGGCTTTTCATCCTGCAGTTTTTGTCTCTTTCTAGAGCCTTTGTAAAGTTCCTGATTAGCATCAAAATTGACTTTGTAGGCATGTGCTGCTCTGCAGTATTTCAAAGGGTCCTAAAAAATCTGATCAACCTCTTGTCACATTGCAACTAACTGGTTTGGTCCATCTTGCAGCAGTCATTCCTTCTGCCTCCTGTGCAGGTGCTGCAGGATGAGAAGATGGAACTGAGAGCCACCTTGCAGTCTCAAGAAGATTTCATTAGCAGCTCGAAACTGCACCAGGAACAGTTACAGAAACAGCTGGACAGGATGACTGAAACTCTTCACACAAAAGAACTCCTCATCAGGTAGCATCTGTGCCTTGCTGGTACTTTGGCTCTTCAATCCAGATCTATGTTCCAGGTTTCTCACTGAGGATAGTAGCAGCATTTTCATGCAGCTGGATCTGTATTGGTTGTATTTAACATAGTGCACTGCAGTTTATCACAAGCACTGTGCTGCCTTGCAGCATTTTTCAATTTGCATTGCTTTTGGAATTAGCAGATAATCAGTGAAGGGCTTGGAGGGAATCCACTTTCCTCAGCTGGGTTTCTGGAGGCAGTGCAGGGCTTTTGAGGATGTTTCTCCCAGGCATTTTCAGCCAAGTGCTGGAGGCCTTTCAGGGTTTGATAACATGCTTATTAACCTAGGTGAAAGATCTCACTGGTTGGGGCTTGGTGATGTAACTACATCTGTGACAAAATCATGTTGGCCTTCTGCCCTGGCAATGTGCAGAGGCTGTTGGGTTCTGGTGGCTGTGTCAGAAGGTTTGGGTGTTGGTCACCTACCAGTCTCTGACAGGGAGGCCAACATCAAAATAAAATGTAATCTTTTTCACTCAGCCTTAACTCAAGCAGGGGTTGTCACCCAGCTGCTGTGTTTGCTTACTCACACTGGTCACCTGCTTTTCAGTGCTGTGTATTTTTCAGAGAACTCCAGAAAAACAGCAGTTATGTTCCCTGTACCAGTGAACTCAGACATGTTTCTGTGCTGGATTAAAGCTGCTGTTTCTGTGTAGGGCCTTGGAGGAGCGCTTGCAACAGAAGCCATTGTCCTCTGCAGGGCTGGAGCTGGAGCAGGTGCTGCTGCAGCTGGATGTTGCCCAGAAGAAGGAACAGCACTTGCAGTCAGAGGTGACTCGTCTTGAGAACAGGTAACCCTCTGCTTGCTCCCTCTGCAAGTGCAAGTAGATCTGGATAATAACACAGCACCTAATTGTGTTCATCAAGTTAACCAGTGATTTTTATAGGCTTGTTTTAAATATCAAAGGGCCAAAGAAATCAAGTGCTATTCATTTTGCAGGGTAATAGTGACTGCTTTGCTAATTGATTGGCTGCCTTTCTCTGCACATGGTGGGTGTTCTCAGGGTTCCAGCTTGCTTAGGCTGAGCACCTTCACTCACAGTAGGCTAAGGAGTCTTTGTTAGGCAGCTGGTAAGAGCCAGATCCGGACCTTCCTGTGAAGTGAGGATTATAAACAAATCTCTGCAGAGAGACTGGGGACTCTCTGTCTCTAGAGGTGTTCAAGACCAGGCTGGATGGGAGTTGAGGCAACCTGGTCCAGTTGAAGGTGTCCCTGCCCATGGCAGGGGGTGGAACAAATGGTATGGGGTGGAGCTTTAGGGTCCCTCCTAACCCAAAGCATTTTGTGATTCTATGATTCCGCTCCAAGTTTGTGGTTTTCAGACTTGTGTTTACATATAAATTTTGTAATCTTAGTTTGTAAATAAACAAGTAAGAAACAGCTGTTATCTGTTATATGAGCTTCCTGATCTCTTGTGAAATCATTTTGGAAAACAAACCCAGAGGATTGGTAAGGAACTTGTAGGCTGAGTTCAGTTTCTGTTGTAATGGACATAAAGGACTGCCTGAAAGATCAAAGTTTCTCTGACCATTTCCTCCTCCTTGGGTTATTCTAATCTATACTTTTGCATTTGGCACCCAGCCTGGTGTCTTCAAATGCCAGGTGTGTGCAGCTGAGCGAGGAGCTGGGTGAGAATATCAAAGAGCTGCAGTCCCTGGAAGAAGACCAGACTGAGTCAAGGGCAGAGATTAAAAAGGTAACTTGGCTTTGTTCCTGGGGAGTGGGATGGCACTGGTGGGGTGAGCTGATCCCTGTGTGCCAGTGCCTCAGCAGTGGCACCAGGGCAGGGCTGCTGGCAGGCAGGGATCTGCTGCAGGTAAGGAATACACCTGGCAGAGGAAGGGTTGAGAGGACACCTGTTTGCAGGTGTCTGAACCTGGCTTTGTGAGCATCTCCTGGGCCTCCCCCAGTACTTCTGTACACTGTAGAGATATTTGAATTACTGCTGGAGGGGCAAATATGCAAAGAAATGAGGGTCTGGAATCCTGAGTGGGTGAAGAGCGGAGAAGGAGTGAGTTTGCTGTAATATGTCCTGTCACACTTGAGGCAGGACTTCAAATGTGTCCTGGTCCCTGTGTGAATAAGGGAGTGTGTTTCAGGCTGGATAGCTGGGCATGAGGGCAGGGGCTGGGAGGAATGGAGCAGCTCACCTGCCACGAGGGGCTCACCCCAGAGCTCTGAGCACCCAAGGGGGGCAGGCCCTCCACTCACTTGGCTCTTCATAATGGTCTGCATCAGCTCATGTGAGAGCTTTCACTGGAGCCTGGTAGAGTGGAAGCCTCATTGAACCTGAGTGAAAAACCTCACTTGTGTGGAAATCCTTCATCCTTTATTCTGAACATACAGAGGTGCAGATCTTGCCAGAGATGTGTGCTTGGTTACACATCTAAACAGCCACACAGTAAATGAATCTCCCACAGGCTGCTGGGGAGGAGGGAGAGATTTATGAAGGCTGTTTCTGTTTTATATACTTGGGAGGCATTGAGGTGACATGGAGATAAATCACCATGTGAACAGTATTTACATGGGTAGGCAGAGATCATCTGGTTCAATTTTCTAAAATGCTTGTAATTCTCAGAAAAATCCTGTGTGTTTGGGTGGTTTATATTTCTGACTAATGGAATGGAGTCCTGGGGAAGAAATTATGCTGCTGTTGGTCTGTCGTGCCACCGAATAAATATAAAGTGTGCCTACCAGTATATTGTATGTGGTGCAGGTCTGCCACCTCAAAAAGCATTGAATAAACTAAGATAAGGTATGGAAAAAGATGACCATAAAGGATGGAGTGGTTTTTATACAAGCAACAGCTGAATGGAATAGGACTTAGCAAACTGGAAAAGAGATAAATGAGATTGAATGGACAGAAAATAAAATCATGCCTGTCATGTGGAAAGTAAATAGGGAATGATTATTCTCTCATCATACAGGGCCTAGTGGTCATCACACAGAGTTATGAAAACAAAGAGATGTATTTTTACCCTGTGCATAGCTGGCTGGTGGAAGCTTGCCATGGGAAGCTTTAGTTGCTATGAGCTAACATTGATTCAACTCTAATATTGATTCAAAAGACTTAGGGCAAATTAATTCCTGGAAGAAAAAGCCAGCTCGAGCTATTTAAAGTTACCATCTTTAAATGGTATCTTCAAATACCTCAGGAAGGCAGAGTGGCAAATTGCAGGGTTATATTTTGCAAGAGTTACTGTGCTTCCCCAGTCACAGTGAACCTTTGGCTCTCTGGCTTTGCCTACAGAGGTTGAATGATGAGCTGAAGAGGCTGTTGGTTTGATAAATTGTGGGTTTTATCAAGTACCTCATGGCATGAAACTTCTTTCCAGTTGGCAGTGTGTGGTGTGGGTAGGGATTGGGATGAGGTGGCTTTCAATCAGGAAAGACCAGCACGTGAGCACGTGCAGAGGGTTTGTTACATGGAGCTTTTTTGTTTTCCAGGACTGAGATTTCACATTCCCATGTGCAATACTTTTGCTTTTTTAGCTGAAACGTGTTTTAAAAGCTCATGGGTGATATGTGCATGTCTTCCTCCAGTTGAAAGACCAGCTCTCTCAGGCTGAACAAATGCACAGCAGTGAGCTGGAGGGGATGAAAAGGGAGATCTCCAGGCTGACCCAGGAGCTGCAGCAGCGGGACATCACCATTGCATCAGCAAGTGGCTCCACCTCAAACCTGGAGCAGCAGCTCAGAGCAGAGATTGAAAGAGCAGAGAGGAAAGCAGTGGAGCACAGGGTAAAAAAGGCCCAAGACTCTTATGCTATCTGTTTAAGGGATCTGAAGGCTTGGAACACCATCCTGGTTTTTAGCTACATTAGTAGTTTCCTTCTATCTTTAGCCTCTGTACAAAAGCTGAGGGTGTTGTGGGCCTGCATTGTGTTCTTTTTCTGAGCTTGTTGGTTGCCTTTGTCTCCTCAGGTAATTCTGGTCCAGCTGGAAACCTTGAGGCTGGAAAACCGTCATCTCTCAGAGATTTTGGAAAAAACAGAGTGTGGTAAGCTGAAGGTATGAAGGTATTGAGGACCAGGAGCTGGGAATGGGCTAGTCTTGTGTACCTGCCTGGGAATAGTCAGAGTCTTTGCCTAGGCCTCTCAAAATGGGGAATAGAGCTCAGTGAACTTTAAACTCAAGCAAAAGAGGCAACTTGAGAGGAAATAAGGTGCAGAAATATCAAGCATTTGTTCAGTCAGAGAGTGGTGAAGAGAACTGCAGAAGCAACCGTAATTTCCATATCTTCTCCATGGGCTTTGGCCCACGTTTTTTAGTACATTTCATTACACTTCCATTTTAAGCCAGTTTACCTCAAACCTTTGATTCTCAACCTGTGATGTCCTTTTGACCTGTCTGAGAGGTGTAACTGCTCTGGCCCTTGAAATGCCTGGGGTGAGAGGATGTTCTCCCCTGGTGAGGAGCCATTCAGCAGGGCTCTCCTTTGCTCTCCATGAGAGGGATGCAGACTGGGAATATGGGCTGGATGTGTTGGGGCAGTGTTCTTGGAAGGGGCCCTGTGGTGGGCTCCTGCAGCTGAACAAAACCTCCAAAACTCCTGAGGCAGAGGGAAGAAGAGGAGCCTGCATGGCAGAGGTACAGCTTTGGCAGAAATAATAAGTTGACTCATTTTGAGAAGGAGTGGCTGGTTTGCAAGTTCTATCTCAACTTAAGCAGAATGGCTGCTTCCCTGTAGGGGGCAAGGGCTGGATTCAGACAGCTGAGAACCTCATGAGAGTATGTCAGAGCTTTTATCCTGTTAGATCTGTGGGAAGGAAATACTCACCTCTTAGTATTAGTTTGGGGTGATTGTCAAATGTGCCAAGTTCCTGGCAAAGTGCTGAACAGAAGCTTGTGGCTGGTGAGATGGATTAAAAGCACAGCTTTCTGGAGGGCTGGTTTGAAACTGAAATAACTTAAGGCCCATTACTTTCTGCTTGAAAAGTGCCTGGTGGCTTTTGCGTGTGTGAATTCCCAAAAATGTGCCAGCAGTGTGAAAAGCAGGAAATCTTCCTTAAAAAAAAGCCCCACAGCCCCAAGGCACAGGAGCTGGATCTTGGCCTGGCAGTCCTAATGCACATTTGGGAAAGCCTTAGATACTGAGCTGATGAGAATTAATTAAGCATCTAAATTTAATAGAATTGGCAAAAAGCAAGTGGGAATGTCACAGGGGTAGAAGCAGTGGAAATTATACTCACCTGGCCTAGTAAACAGAAGATGATGGGAAGAAGCAAGTTGTTCAGAGGTTCAGAAAGGCCAGAGTCAGGTATGTCTGAACTATCCTAGGTCTATGTTTTCCTGTTTTAAAAGGAATCCAGTGGTGAGAGAGACTGACCATCCCAAGCAGATAAGCACAGTGAGTCTGGATGCAGGCCCAGTAAGGCATATATATAATTAATTTTCTCCTAGGAAAGTCTTGAAGGTTTTGCCAGTCAAAATGAGGTTAGGGGATATGCCTTAAGGAATCTCTTGCTGGCCTTTGCTCTGGATGTGACTGTGGTGTCTTGCAAACCAGAACTTCTGACTTCTGTCCTTCTTTGTCTGTTAGGGGGGTGATGGCACCCTGAGAGCCCTCAGGGAGGACTACACTGCTGAGCTCCAGAAATTAATAGCTGAGAACCAGCAGCTGCGGAAGGACCTCGCAGAGACCAGGGCGAAACTGGGGGTCACTGCACAGGTGTGCCCAGGTGAACCTGAGGGCATGGCTCAGCAGGGGCAAGGCAGAGAGCCCAGGGATGTACAGCACAGGTGAGTGAGCCCAGGGATGCTGCTTCCTCAGGGGGAAGGAGAGCAGGGGATGTGTGGGGTTTAATGGCATGCTGGGTGTCTCTCCAGTGCATCGTGTGTCTGGGAGAGCACAAGGACTGGTTGGGAATCTGCCTTTATGCCTTAAGCAGTGCAGTAGCTTTGAGCCCCAGCTGGTTTGTGTTCTGCAGAGCCAGCAGTGTTTGTCTTTTGTCTGCCTTTGCTTCTCTCTGGAGCAGCAGTCTCTGCTGTTTTTGGTGACAGGATTAGATGTGGCCCAGGCAGCTGTGTTCCTTTCTGTTGCTCTGTTAGGATGTGCAGGCTGTGGGTTTTGGTATCTACAGTAGCAGAAGAGAGAGAGAGAGAATTCCACGGGGACTGACTGAATGTGTGTCTGGAAGTGCTATGGAAACAAGTTTGGATTGCCAGGGCTGTTAGTAACATTTATGTTAATTGTTGCTTCTGTGTGAGTTTTTGCTGGAGTTCAGCTGCTAAGAGACAAACTCAGTTCTGTGCTCAAACCTGCCTTCCAGGGAAGCACAGCACGAGCAGGATGAACACACAGGGAGCACACATCTCCAGCCTGACAGGACTGCTCAGCATCATCACAGGCACTCCCAAAGGTGTGAGGCTGCTGAAACAGGAGCTGTGACCCCTGAGATGGGTGAGCCACCCTCCCAGAGCAGCAGCAGGAACTGCAAGGAGCCACGTGCCTGGCTGGGAATGGAGTCTGTGCTTCACGTGGTGCATGAAAACAAAGATTCTGCAGAGGAAGCATCTAAGCAGCCTGCCTTAAATCATCACAGAGAATCTGTGGTTTTGGTAAGCAGTTGTAAAGGAGCTACTTGCTGCTCAACAGCTGAAAATAGAGCTGGGTTCTTATCTGGCAAAAAGGGACAGGCATTGGAATGCATGACCTAACTGCATGTTGTGTGTGATCCTCTAAGTAAATCAAATGTTAAACAAGGAAGGAAAGCCACTGCTGAATGGTTAAGACTTGGCCAGGAGGATCCATATAGAGGCTCTTCAGAGCTCCTTGGAGAGGAGATTTGTGTTTGTGTGCTTGCTCAGTTAATTCCAGGAGCTCATGGTGCTGTACCTCAGTGTGTACCAGGACTTGCTTGTGTCCCCTCAGAATTCTGCTTCAGCTTTTGGCTTGGGTCTGTAGTAGAGGCTCAGAGTGGATGTGGAGTGCTGAGTATGTCAGTATTTCACAGTCTCTGGGTGGCTGGTTGCTGCACATCTGTAAAGCACAGGGTGAGTTTTACCCCTTTTCAAACAGGCTGCAGCAGTCAGCACACTGAACTTAAAGCTGCTTATGCTTACAGATGACAAAGCCTGAAATCCCTGCTTCACTGCACAAGGGGAGCCTGCTCTTTATCCCAGTTGCTGATGGTACTTTTTTCATCAGGAGCAGTGTTAGCACTTTCTCTGTCCTAGCTCAGCTCAGTTGCTCAAGCACTTGACCAAGATATAGAAAATTTGCACTGAATCAATTCTTCCTGTCATGTTTAGGGAGGGGAGAATGCTGAGCACTGGTCCTTGTTCCAGATGTGTTGCCCTAGCAGTGTTCAGAGCAGTTTCTCCTCTGTTTTTGCTTTGGTAGCAGTGACAACTATTAAACTATTAGCTATCTTTTTATAGTCCAGAGAAGAGGCTCAAAGGCTAATGCACAGATAAGTGGAGGCTTGTCATGTCTTTGATGAAGTTTATGACCAAGAACAGGTCTTGATTTTTCAAGACTAAAATAGCTTGTGCACATACCCAGAAAACAGTGTTGGGAAGTTAGGGAACTGCAGTATTGTAAATGGAAACTCTTCAGGTTGCAAGATTGGACCCAAAGTGTGAACAGTTTCACTTCAGGGTCTGAGAAGCTCTAGGGCTTGATGTTTAATAGAAGAAAATGGGCTGCTTTTTATTCTGAGAGGTAGAAATAAGATTTCTAAGAAAATGCAGATATTTCTCCGGGTGTTGACTGGGTCAGGCTCCCACTGGCTCAGTGTCTTTAAATCAATTCCTTTAGCACTGAGAGAGCAGAACTCTCATCAGTAGGCAGTAGTGGGGTGGGAGAGATTTGCTTGTTGTCTGTAGCCTTTTCTGTTTCCCTTTGTTCCTGGTTGTTGACAGGACCTGAAAACCACAAGACTCCAGGATTTGGAAATAACCAGTTATTTTCTCTTGCCAAGACACTGAGACAACTTGTCTGTAATGGAAAGCAGCCCCTTAGTAACCTTAATATTTCACGTGCCAGCCCCTGTGCACGAGGCTTCTCTTCATCAACTTGTACATTAAGCCTGGTTTACAGTGTTGTTTTTGTAAGTTAATGACTTGTGGGTAAGTGATGTGAGGAGCAGGAATAGTTGTTGACTGTAAAGGAAAGAATCTGGAGTAGTTTGTTGACCATTGCTGGCTGGACTGAAGTGCTGTTCTGTGAGCTGCAATGGGAGTTTGGCCTGTACTTGCCTGTGGGATTGTACCAGGAGCCTGTTACTTTGGGGAAGAAGAGGAGGTGTATGAAAGAAAGCAGAGATATTCCCAGTGTGGAATATGTGGTAGAAAAAACAGTCTGGCAGTGTTTTCCCTTCTCTGAACCCAAACTCTGAGGTGCTCCCATTCACTGGGATTTTTAAACAAGGAGCAGGATGATATTGCACCAACACCCAGGGCAAACTCCTTGATATTCTAGAGTGACCTTCTCTAGTTGTGATGTTTTAGTAGTGATTTTTTTGCAGTCTTGGCTTCGTGCAGCAATCATTGCTGGCTGTTGGGAGGGATGTGATCAGTGATACAAATGGGAGATCTGAGTGCTTAGTCTGGCCACTAAGATGGAAATGAGCCCTCTAGGAGCATGTTCAGTGGTGTGGTTTGCAGATCAGTGGTGTTTCTGGCCAAAACTTGGAATGAAGGAATGCCTGATAATCCCTTTGTTTCCCTTTAGTGCCCCTTGCCTACAGCTTCTGTGGGATCCATTGCTGCACGATACCTGGAAGATGAAGAAGTGAGATCCCAGCACATCCTGGAGTGCCTAAATGCTCACATTGAGGAACTGAAAAAAGAGAGTGCAAAGATAGTGAGACGATTTGAACACCAGCACTAATGTTCCTTGTGGAATTGGAATGCTGGTTTCCTTATGTGCTTCCAAACTGTGACTGGGAAGGTGCCTGTATCCAGCTGGGCTTGGAGCTTGAGTGAGAGGCCATGTGTCCCACTTGGAGCTGAGTCAGCAGGAGGGAGTTGAGGAAAAGGAACTCATGTCTACATGCTTGCTCTGATGAGGGGTGTTACACCACAAACATTTTAGTCAGCTTGCCATAGGTCAGAGACCTGCATCACAGCTATGTGCTCACTCACAAAGTTGAGGATATTTTTTAAAAGCAAAACATTTCCTAGTTTTTATGTATTTAAAGTATATTTTATACGTGTAAAAGCATTGAAATAAATCAGAATGGCAAACACCTCTTTTCTTGTTTATACAAATACACAAAGTGACTCTTGTGCTTTATATTCCCTTCTCATCAGGAACTTGGATCAACACCTTTTCCATCACAGCATAGCTATGCTCTTCAAGGAACAAGGAATAAAATTCCTCTTTAGGCTGTCAGCATTTTTTCCAGTTAATTTGCCCTTAGTGGAATTTCTTAATATTTCCTGGTTCTTGTAGCTTCTGCCCTTTCCAATTTGTGTAGTATCTGGAGTCTTTATCTTGCTGTACAGGGTGCTTGAAGTACTGCAGGATAGCTGAGGAATGAGTGGCTGAATTCTGGATGTGGCTCTTGGAAAAGAAAAATAGGAATGAGAAATGACACTGGGTGGGAGGAGAACCCACAAGCAGGTGAGGTTCATCCACATTGCAGCTGCCTTGTGAGCTGGTGCCAGCCTGGGTTGAATCTGGACAGTCCAATGGAACTGCTGCATCAAAATACATCTGTGACCTCTTTTGGGGAAAATATTCAGTCTTTCCTTGAGAGAAGTAAGTTGTTAGTGAGTGAACAGGACTTCTTTCCTATGGACTTGTTTTCTTTTGGGGTTTCTGCTGTTCTCCTGTGGCTGAGTCTTTATGGTCTTTGTGCAGGCAAACCTTGGGATGAGGACATTCCATGTCCATAAGTTTCCTGTTCCTTTTCATCAGCTTCACCTTATCTTAGAGCAGCTTAATGCTGTCAAGGGACAGGAATTCAAAAGCACCACATGTACACAGAGCCCAACCATTGTGTCAGACAGGTGAGTTCAGCCAGGGAGTGCCTGGCTGCAGACTGGGGCTGCACTTGGGCATGCACCTCTGCATCCCAGAGTTTAGAAATGTTCCAATCCAAAAGTCCTTGTTGTTTTGGCTTTCTGTGGAGTTCCTTGCATGGGGATAAAACTGTCAAATCCATTCTGGATTCTCATTGTGCAGCCTTGGTAATGAGGTGCTGAACTGCCCCCAGCTGGAGCAGGACTGTGATCATCCAGCATTGGCCTTGAATCCTCTGCAGAGCTGTCCATGGGTGGTTTTGGAACATCCTCCCTGTCTGTCCAGATCTCAAGTAAGGACTTGTAGGGCATGGGGCATTTTGATAAAATCTGAATGGCAGAATGCACCAAACTGTTTCCTCTTTGCAGATGAACCTATAGATGCACTGGGTGTGTGAGATATGCCAGAACCCTTAAGGATCCCTCACAGCCTTCAGTGAGGCCACCAATTTCATTTTTTAAATGATAGTTTGCAAGTGGTATTGTATTTCCTGATTTGTCAGATTAGTTAGTGAGTGTTGCATCATGCTGTTGGTGTTTTCAGCAGTTCAGGAGACATTTTGCCTTGTTTCTGACATGCTCTTTCATATCCCTTCAGAGATATTTGTCAGTTCATGTTGGAAGAGCAAGACTGAAGATGATCCATTTGCTTAATTAGCAGCTATAATCCTACAGTTTTATCAATTTCTAATACCTGTAATAAGCAGCTTCATTCAGGGAGAATTCATTCATCAGCTTCATTCATCTAAAAATTTGAACTAATGTAATCTGAAGTAGCATCTGCAGCAGGGGAATTGCTGAGTTACTTCCCTGTGTTGGTGTGTGTGTGCTTTGTCTTTCCCCCTTTCTCTCATTGCAGATGCCCTGAGAGAACTGAGAAGTCTGTTCCAGAACTGTTCTCCTGGTGTTGGAACCTTGGCTGCACTGAAGAATGTGCATTTTTTATGAAGAGGAGGAGAAGGAGCTGTGTTTATCCTGGAGGGAGATGTCACAGCAAGTGCAGACTTCTGAGGTGCTTTTATCTGGGGCTGCAGGGTTTCTCAGGCATTCTCTGCCTTTGCAGTGTCAAAGCTCCCTTGGAATAATCACCTGGCCCTGGAAACTTTATAATTAATGAAGCTGGAGAGGGGGTTTGTGTCTTTGAACTTATGCCTTCAATAGCACTAAAGGATTTCTTACACTCTTGCAGGGCAGAGCCAATGTTTGTTTTCTGATTGAGACAAAAGTGTGGAACTGTATTTGCAGCACTTCCTTTTGTACATCTGTAGAGTGGGAAGCTGTGCAGGCTTCATCTGTCTTTAGTGTGTTACAGATGTTCTGCTGTGGGTGTGACAGTGCTTGGAGGTCAGTCTTTGCTTTGAGGAGTTAAAGAATCTGGGACTCTGTAGATGTGTGCAATTGCAGGTACCTGGGTTTTGCAGACTGGGTTGCAGGAACAGGGAATACTCCCTGAGGCTGTGCTAAATAGGGGGCAATAAACTGTCCTCTCTGCTCTCTTGGGGTCAGTTTTTGTTCCCCCTGCCATCTTGAGACACAAATAAAGCTTAGAGAGAGGGCTTGTGGAAGTGAGTCTTTGAGACAAGGAGCAGGGACCGCGTTCATAGTTCAGAGTTCTGAGAACTTTACCTGCAGAGAGGTTTTACCCAAGTGTCTGTTTGTGTGCTTGTGCCTATTTGTGAGCATCAAATGTGTGGTTCCATGAACAGTGTCTGTACTTTGGTATTCTTGACCCTGTTTGGTAGTTGTTTTCTTTAGTCACTAAATTCTCTGGGATGCTTCCTTATCCTGCCATTGTAAGAAGTAACAAACTTGACTGGATCAGCTTGACCTGTGAAATGAAAGCTACTGCAGTGTATCGTCCTTGATCTGAAAAGTGGGATCTGAGAAAAAAGAACCCTTCTGCCAGGCACCAAAATAAACCAGGACTGTCTGTGCTGACAGACAATACTTGCTTTAGCCTTCAAGGTCCTTAGGCAAACAAAAGATCTGCCTTGCATCTGTGCTGCTCAGTCTGTGCTGATGCCCAGGGAGTGGGAGCCTGCTGGGCTCCACGGCTTGTGAGTGTTCCTGCAGGGAGGAGCTGCTGCCACCAGTTTTTGAGGGCAAAGACACTGAGCTGTTTAGGGGAGGACTTAAAATCTACTTTTATGTTGCATATGGAGCCTCTTGTCGCCAAGTACAAAAAGACCCCGAAGTTTTGCTGTGCTCCCAGCTTACCCTGGAGTAAGCCCTGTTAGCTTACATGTGGTGTTTATGCTTGCAGCTCCTGTCTGCAGCAGCCTGCATCCTCACAGAGAGTGCTGATCCTGGAATCTGGCTGCAGGTACTTAACCTGCTCACATGGGGTGCTAGGGCCAAAGGAATAATGTAGGAGTGAGCCTGCTACAGGTGGGCAGCCCTGTGAGTAATTCCTGCCACCCAGTCACTAAGGAGGGAATGTAGGAATAACCCATCTCTTTTGCATGGAAGATACAGCAGCTTTAGGAAGAGAATTCATATTGTTTGGTCAATGAAACAGAGTGCAAAAACATAACAAGTTTATTTTCAATACAAGCTCAAACATAATACCTCTTGGGTCATGCTAACGCTCACAGGCATCTGAATCAGTTATGAAAATATTGCTCCATCTCAGGATGTGCAGTTGTGGTGGGATTCAGCAGAAGCCCCTCTTTGCCTTGTGCATGGAGGTGTTTTCCAAGAGTACAGCACCAAATGATTTGTTACATGATAATAATGTCACTCAGCCTGCTGTCCCATGTGACCCCATCAGTTTATAGCTGCAGTATTGCATAGACAGGTTGGAGGAAGGAGTGATTTCTGAGAACTTTACTCTCATTTTTACTTTAATTTTCCTTATGGAAACACCTATATGCTTCAGATGTAATTACAGCAGAAAAAGTCTCTACAATACTCTAATATAAAAAGGTAAAAATAATTTTGTTTATTGTATTTAAGAGTCAGTGTAAAAAGTATTTTTCCAGTATTATTGAAATCTGTAAGACAGTGAAGTGCACAAGGAAACTTCATGTTGTATCTTCTTCCTAACTCTTCTCTCTCCTCGGATGTATTTTGCAACTTGACTACAGTTATAATGAATGTTGGTTTAAATATCCTGAAGTTCCTCATGTCCAATGTTGCTGCTCAAAACCAGGGTACACTTTCTTCATCCTGCCCCACAACTAGGTGAATTCTTGGAGTAGCCCTCGTAAGACTTTTCTTATGGTCCGTAACTTGGAAACCAGCAATCCCTGCTGGCACAGAATGCCCTGCAGACAGTCAGTTGTATTCTTCTAAATATTTGTCTGGACAGCGTTACTGAAATGTAGGTGATGGTTTTATCTCATGTCTTCCACTGCTGCTCCTTTTTTTAACAGGATTTTCTGCTTCCTTGACCATCTTTGAACCTGCAGTCTGGCAAAAGCCTGCAAGTGTTGTCCTGCATTTGTTGAAAGAACAGATTTGGTTGAGAGAATGAGCAATCTCCTAAAGCTGTGCTGGTTTGGGGCATGTTGGGGAGGTCAGTTCATGCAGGTGAGTGAAAGAACAAGGAGTGGATGTTACTGGGTCTCAACTTCGTATTTGAGGACGTGCGAGTAGAAGCTGTGGTTGGCGTTCTCGTGCACCATCACAAACACCTCTCTGCACCCCGAGGTGTTGCAGGTTCCCTCCCAGCAGCCCTTGTTCTGGGTCAGAGGGTAGGTGTTCTCAGCCTGGACCAGCACCTTGGCGACGCCGTGCATTTTGAGTTTGAACTGCACGTTGCGGTTGGCCGGCAGCAGGCCCGAGAGCGGCTCCAGGATCTCGTAGTCTTGCAGCCACTTGCTGTAGCTCTGGGGGAAGGCTGGCCACTTCACCTCTGTGTTCAGGCACCTGATGAGGTAGTTGAAGATGTAATCGTAATTACCAGGGTCCGACTTCTTCTTGGAGTAGATTTTGAGCACGAAGTTCCCTGCGTGCGGGAGATGGACCTTCAGCTCGATCTGGTTCCTGCGGTGGATCTGCAGCACGTGCCGCCTGCCCATGTCCTCGCTGAGGCTGCTGCTGCCATCGGTGTGCAGCGAGGTCAGCACGCTGATGTCTTTGCTCAGGGTGAAGGTGAGGGAGCAGCGCCCGTCGTTGGTGTGCAGGATGGGCTGGCTGTGGGATGGCCGCAGGAAGCCCTGGCGCTCGGAGAACCAGCTGGGCCCCACGGGCTGGTGCAGCTCCTTGGGGAAGCGCATGG